ATTGTACTCGTTAAAAAGATTTTATAAAGGCCAATCGGTGAAGTAAAAAATAATTGCTAGATTGGCCAACAGTAGGAGAGAAAAAATAGAAAGGGAAACTTGTTATAAAGGAGACCTAACCATATACATGTTTTCTTTAACCGAAATTAATTTCTACCGAGTACTATCCTAGAAATTGGCAACTATAATTTTATCTCGCCTATTTCCTTAAATTTCCTAAACTATGCAAAATGTATGATATCGAGTTATAAAAATTGGTACAATCATTGATGCCAATCCAAGACTTGGGAAAGAAGAGAAATCAATAATGAAAATAGCGAGTTCAAAATTTCAACAATGGATCATCAAATCATAAGTTGTCTCTTCACTTCTAGGACTCCTAGATGAGCCCTCTTCAAGCTTTAGTTGCTGATATTTGAAGCCAAGCTAAAGTCCTAATTCTTTCTGTTTCTTTTCCTTCCATAACACCATCATTATCATCATCTTGATGGCCTTTCTTGATAGTAATGGCTCACAATGATTGTGAATAAATAAGATGCTCTGCAGTAGTTATTCAATAAATGACGACGGACAATGCCACCATAAAATATATAAAGATCTAAATAATAAATTTAAAACCAACAAAATTAAAATTAAAACTACTTCAATGTAATTACAAACAACCTACTTCATTACACTTTATAAACAATTTACTTCGAGTATAATTTATAAACAACCAATAGAATTAAAATTAAAACCACTTGCTATTTTACAAAACAATTCAACAACTTAACATTGTATTCACTTAATTTTTTTCTTTCTAAAATTTATGTATTTTTTCTCTCGTCTATTGTGTTTCTATCTCAACCAATAACGCTTCTTATTCTATGAAAATAGAATCTAACTTATTCTTCAACCTTCGAACGTTCATAATCAATTCGTTGTTTTCTTTTAGAAACAAATTTCTCTTTATAAATCTATCTTTGTCTATTTCTCATTCCCAAAACAATCATCCTAACTCTACCTTTTATGAAATCAACCTTCTACACCTAATAACCATAATTAAAATTTTTATTATCATTGTGGCCAAAACATATAGGACATGGATAGAACCTTGAACTCGAATGGCTATCACTCCATGACATCATTACAAGATCTTCGTAATTCAATTCAAAAGTTTATGGTGAAGCTACACAAATCGGTCACAATCTGTCATCCTTAATTTTATTGGTGAAAGTAGAGGATTACGAGTTGGAGTAAAGGTTGCATGATTCCATCCTAAATTTTTTTACATGCCGATGATGTAAATGATGCACTCATCTAATTTAGGGTTTTAATAAAATGAAAAAAAAAAACAATTTAGGAGTTTTAAGGTTTTCAAGAAATAAATAAAGTAATTTAGAGATTTTTGGGTTCTCACAAATTATGGGTTTTTTGTTATAAAAAATTTAGGGTTTTAACCCATAAATAGATGTATTCTTATAAGATGTAGAGAAAAAATGATGAGAAGGATGAAGGGAAAATAGAAAAGAATAAGGGTTTCGAATTAAGGATTTTCATCAATTAAGGATTTGGGCCACCGAATTAGGGATTTTTATAAATTTGGGATTTGAGGAGCTACCTGAATAATCAAAGATCTTTGAGTTAGATTGCTTATGAATTGATGGTGAATAGAAAATCGAAGGTTAATGTGTGAGGATGTTAGGGTTTTTTCATCTAGATTCTATTGTTTCGATCGATCGATCGCGAGAGGAGAGAGAAAAATCAAAAGGTTTTTATACTTTGATTTTTTTTTATTTCAAACTATGCGTGTAAAAATTTTGGGCCACGTGGCAAATTTTATCGAATGTGTCACGCCACATGGTAATTTGTTTCCATCTATCATCACCAACTAGAAGATTCATCGGATTTCGGTGACATGGGCCACATTTAGAAAGAGTAAATAGAAGTGTTGAATAAGAGAAAAAAAAAAAGTACGGGACCTATATGTAGAAAATGTCAAGAGTATAAAGACATTTTATGCAATTAATGCCAATTTTTTCTTTTATTTTTAACTAGTCGTAGCGGATAATTTTATTTTCAACCTTTTTTTAACAATTTTTATTTTATTTTTATCTTCAATATTAGTTAAATTGAGTCTTTGGTCATGTCTATATCTAGATGTTGTTTGTTTAGCAAGAATGGAAGCATGAAAATAAAAATGAAAGTTTTATTCTCACTTTGTAACTATTTAGTTGAAAGAAATGAAGTAAAAATGGTAATGAAAATTACACATAAGTTCATTCTCACGTAGAAGGTGAGAATAATTTTTTTTTCAAAATAATGATACATTATTTTTATTTATTATTTATTGACTATTTCTATTACTACCACCACCATCTCTATTGGTGATAGTGATAAAAAAAAAATTATTATTATTATTATATCACCACTCCTCTACCATCTTAACAACTATCGTTTTGTAACTATTTAGTTGAAAGGAAAGAAGTAAAAAAAGATAATGAAAATTATGCATAGGTTCATTCTCATGTAGAATGTGAGAATAAAAATAAAAAATGAGAATAATTTTTTTCAAAATAATATTATATTATTTTTATTTATTGTTTATTAACTATTTCTACCACCACCATCACCATCTCCATTGACGAGTGGTGATAAAAGAAATTATTATTATTATTATTATTATTATTATTCTATTGTCACTACTCTACTACAACCACCACCATCACTTTTATTATAGCACCACTACCGTTGTCTTTTTATACTATCACATCTTATGGTGATGATATTAATTTTTTAAAATATATTATTATTATTATTATTATTATTATCACTTCCTCTTCATCCTCCTCTTATTCCATCATTACCATCACTATTATCACAATCATCTCTATTATTTTTACTATCATTATAGTTGATAAAATTATTTTTTTAATTATTATTCTTATTTATATTAAAAACTAAATATTAAAAAATTTAAATTTTATTTTGAATTTTTTTTTAGTATTTTAAAAACAATATAAAAATACAAACATCATTTTCATCCTTTAATTTTCATTCCAATTCTTACATTTTCATTCTAAATTTTTCTTTTTTGATAATTAAACTACACTTGTTGTATGACAGGACTGTACTACTTTACTTTAGCAATGGATAGAAGGTGCTGGTACTCAGAGCAAACTCAAATTAATGGCAAATATTGATAGCAGGTGATTGGTAGGATTCGTCTGACAAGAGATCAGCACATAAAAAGCAATATAAAGAATTTTCCTTAATAATTGTCCTGCAAATTAATAAGCTTGTAATTGTACTCCTTATGGTGGGATCAAAACCAAAAAAGCATATGATGATTTCCTTAAATTCATCATATAAGAAGCAAAATAAGTTTAATGCCATTGTGGATCATGGCTTGTAGGCCCTTTTTTCTTAGATTAATTATCGTGGGTCTTCTTTAGGCATATGCACAGTTCATAAAAATGACATTTATCTGTACCATACCGATACACAGTCCTCCAGCCGATAAGATTTGAGATTTCTTTTAGAAGGTTTGACGTTTAAACAGGATGGAATGTAGGGACAGGGAAGACTACCTAAGTTGAATTGATGGCGAATATTGATAATAGCCAGTAGAGTGCTAGAGATATATACTGAAGTCCTCTAGCATAAGAGAAGAACCTAAGAAAGCAGCATATTTGGTGACGAAGGATCTAGAAGTGGTGACCGACAACTTGAACAAGGATGCAACAAGGTAGGATGCTGCACAACGATGCAAAGCAGACATTTTGTTCATGGTAATTTACTCCTGAATCTGGGCTCACTTACGGTCAAAAAAACCCTTTCTTACTCGGCTCATTTGAGGCTCCCAACAACGATGACAAACATGAGATCGACAAGATAATTGAAGATACAATCATCAAGATGGGTCTTCAAGATTGTGCAAATGACAAGATCTGAAACTGGCATTTGTGAGGCGTAAGTGGTGGAGAAAAGAGAAGATTGAGCATTAGTATTGAGGTTTTAACGCAGTCTAGCATCTTTTCTCTTGACGAGCCTACTAGTCGACTAGATAGTGATTCATCTGTTTTTGTGATTCAGGCTCTAAGAAATATTGCTTATGATGGAAATTTGTCATTTGCTCTATTCACCAACCAAGTGTCGATGTGTTTGGACTCTTTGATGATCTCTTCCCCCTTTCAGGTGGAGAAGCTGTTTATTTTGGAGAAGCAAAGATGGCTGTGAAGGTGAGCTTCGTTTTGTTTTGAATCGATGAGAATACTGGCGTTGTCGTCTCTGAAATTCTTTTTATGTTTGTTCTGATTCTCTATTATCCAGTATCGATCTTCGCCAACACGGGATTCCCTTGTCCGACAAAATGAAAACCTCCAGATCACTTTCTTCGATGCATGAATCCTGACTTTGACAGAATATATAATACTATAAAGCGATCGGAAAAAAGATTTTGTGTCAGAAAAACCTGATATAAGAGCTTGTGTGCAAGTTTGTTGCGCCATCAACAGTGCTTCTAATAATTTTTTGATGAAAATTTTCATCTACAAGCATCGCCAGCATCATCAGGTTTTTCATTGACTATGACAGCAGCAGAAATCAAAGAAAGGCTTGTTCAGAAATACATGCTTCCACTTAGACAGAGAATGCCAGAGAAGAATTCAAGAAACCACACACACAAGTGTGCAATTTAGACTACAACAATGTCATAGCACCCAATCATGTATTCATTTCCTTCATTCATTCTTTGTCAGTTGTTTCTTTGGGTCGTTACTGGCATCGAAATTTAAGAAAATCATGCACAGAATAAGTGAATGCTTCAAATTGGTCGTACCCTTTTTTTTTCCATCTCTAACACCTGCATTTCTTCCTTTGTCTTTCCATTTCAACTCCCCATATGAACAAATTACAAAATTATAAATTATAATCTGCAGGAAGGATAGTTCAACAAATCTAGCAGTTATCCAAGCTGGTGGAGGCAACTGTTGAAATTTACTCGTCATTCGTCCCTAAACATGTATAGGAATTTGGGGTACCACTGGATTCGAATCCTATTCTATTTTATACTATCAATAGGTGCTGGCACGTTAGATTTTGGCATTGGGACAAGTAATAAGGCAATCTTGGCAGGAGGAAAATGTAATGAACTTCTTTATGGCCTCATGAGTTGTTTGTTTATAGGGGCCTTACCTGTCCTCGCAGAGGAAATAAAGGTGGGGACGCGATTCCATAACTTCAAAGAATTTCTTCATTTCAGCTTCATTTATGTGACTCTCTCCCTAAAACTCAGATATCTGATCGCAAAAGGTTTTGCGGGCATTATGGAGAGGAGAGGCCGTCTATGTCATATCCAACTCTATCTCCTCACACCCTTTCATCACAGCTTCATTTATGTGGCTCTCTCCCTAAAACTCAGATATCTGATCGCAAAAAGGTTTTGCGGGCATTATGTAGAGGAGAGGCCGTCTATGTCATATCCAACCTTATCTCCTCACTCCCTTTCATCATAGCAATTTCTTTCAGTTCAGGACCGATATTCTACTACATGGTGAAGTTTCATCCCGGAATCAGTTACTTGTGGTACTTCTGCATCAACTTATTCCGCTATGTTGCTGTGAAGCAAGCATATTGATGGTTGCAACACTGACATCCAATCCCTTTATTGCTATAGCAGCTGCAACTGCTGTTGCTGTAAGTTAAAACCCACATCTCACCATTGCATACCTTCATTAACTGAGGTGTTGTTCATAAAGCTATTGAATCTAAGGCCATCTAACGTATTCCGACAGCCACCAAACCTCCCCAAAGATCTTTCTAGTGCACCCACTTTTCAGGTCTTGGATGTGATATATCAATAAGCTCAAATTGTATTTTCCGTATTTCCAAGTTAATAGTATGAGAAAGAGGCTCTTGATTTTCTCCTTCTGTGCAAGAATTCAACAAATGAATTTGCAAGGATTTTTATATAATCAAAGAAAACAGTATTTTTTCTACCCTGCAATTTCTATTATGCCCATTATGAATCTGGCTTGGGCCTGCACAAGTAATGTAAGTTTTATTCTGTTCCAAGGTGATATTTATTCAAATGATGCAGCCAAATAAGCACTTCGATGAAGGGTTTGGTGGAGGATGGCTACGGATTATATCAGCGTGCTTGCATAAGTGACCAAAAGATTATATGGGTGAAACTCCGACAATTATACAGATTCAAGGAAATAACAGATTGGGGAATTGAAATCTGTAAACATTGCATTGGGAACTCTGCATGATAATCTGCAATGTGGTGGAACAAATAAAAGATACCACTCTGTAAAAATATAGGGTGTTATTTGGCTAACCAGTTTAATAGGAACAAAATTGAATTACAAAATGATGGCATCCAACAGAAGAATGCTCGAACTATCACTCATTTATTTGCGCCAATGAACTCTCGGTACTCATTCTTCATTTTCACCCCTGGCACAGTTCTGCATGACAAGCATAGGAAATTTCACATCAGAAAGCTACCACGGAAACAAGAGCTACAAGCTCATTCATGCATGTGTGCATTCAAGCATAAAGAAGTAGAAAACAATTTTTTTCCCCACCTGATCATCTCCTTGTTCTTGAAGAACTGCACACATGGTGTACCCATAATTCCAGCTGCTTCTGCTATTTCTGGATCCTCCTCGATATCGATTTCAACAAAATGAACATTTTGATCAAACTCATCAATCACCTGCCATTAAACAAAAAAAAAAAAAAAACGAGGGGGTGGTCAGAGATGCAACAAGATGTATTCCCAAAAATGCAAACAAACACAAAGCATGAATGGATATCATAAATTATGCAAGAGAACCTCCACTTGTTCTCCTAATTATACAATCCAATATAAGCTAGCGTTGAACCTACCTTGCTGAGAATTGGCTTCAATGTCCTACATGGACCACAAGTTGGTGATGTATACAGCACACATATAAGCCTTGGACTTTCATGATACAACTTTCGCAGAGAATACTGAGGAAGTTAAATGGAGAAAATAACATAAGCTTTGAGCTAAGGGCATATAAGAATCTTATACACAACTTGACTGAAAAATGTTGATGTAATGTTATATTTCATCATAATCAGAACATGCACCTGGCCCTTATGCTTAGTAATGGTAATGTCAAAGCCCTCTTGAACATCTCTGTCAGTGGGTTCCTTCTTAACCTCTTCAGTATGTGGCTGTCAAAGAAAGAATCATGAAGAGCAAGCAAGTTCGGGTGGGAGTATGGCTTAGATATGCTATCACATACAACTAAAGATTTACATAAAATTCAATAACAAAATGCCACCAGACTGCATTTCGAGACAACTTGCAAGCTTATGCATCTCACATAAACATATTCATTTAACTTTCGTAGGATGATCCATTATCAGAGAAGAGATTTAATTCATGATCAGATATACGAGACTTAACCAAAAATTGAAGTCCATAATCATCTTGGTGAACAAAAAAAAAAAAAAAAAACTTTCTAATTGAAAGAGGAACTTCTTCATATGTAAGAGAGAACCAAATAAGCAATCTTAGAGAGTGCCAAGTTCCATGGATGGAAATTAATGAGAAATAAATGCTTGAGAGCAAAAAGAGTAGACATGACAAAGTAAAATAGCTAAGAGATGAGTGAAGTAGATACAGCTGGACTTCAGAGCAGTACATTAACCCACCCGCACACAATAGAAGCTGTAGCGAAAACAGACAAAAATATACCTGGTGAAACTCTATTAGTAGGTCGTTGCTCACGAGGTATCTCTCAACTGATAAAGCAGCAATACATCCAGATCCAGCAGCTGTTACGGCTTGCCTCCACTCGTGGTCCTATTAAATAAACAAGAAACCAAATCACAAAACTTTTACAGGTTTTCCCAAACAAAACAAAAGTTCTGATCATAATGAAGCTTGAACTTATGCATCACGATAGTTAAATGTTAGTGAACATGCCTAGAGGACATATCAAACATTACCTCGAGCAATTTGTGTTAATCACGAAATTCTACTACATATGTAATGAGTTCTACAACCCTTGTGAAACTTTAATATTAAACTCTGCAAGCACCAGAGGATGACCATAACTAGAAGAGACAATACCAAGAATGATGCAGTGCCAGGTTTGGGGTTGGTAGACAGGGATTGTGGTTTAAGATTCAATCACTGTGACAAAAAAAAATTAGAATTGTAGGAAAATCACCTTACACCAAATTTTGCAGTGCCAAATTTTTGCAGCGCGTCAGACAAGTTTTCAAATAAAACTACTAAATATTTTTATTTTTGCAGTCATCACTTCCACAAAGTTTATGCTCTCCAATTTACTATATTTTTATTTTTGCAGAAATCACTTCCACAAAGTTTATGCTCTCCAATTGACAAACACATTGACAGCAATTAAATTTAATAATCATGTTTTGCTAAAAAATTAAATCACATACTTTATTAAGAGATTTTTTTTTTTTTTTTTTTTTTTTTTTTTTTTTTGGGATTGAATGAGAAGTACTCAAATATTCTCATTCACATGCTTCTGTACTACACATCCCATCAACATATTTCTGAACCTGGACATCGCCAAACAAACAAGAATGATACCAGGGTCTTGAGTACAGCAACGAGATGTAAATGAAAATTGGCAAGTCTTAACCGATCCAAATGACAGCTTTTTACAGGATTACCTGAACATCTCCAGCAGCAAATACACCTTCAACAGAAGTTTTTGCAGTACCATCCTGAATTAACACATAGCCTGCACTATCTAGTTCAACTTGGCCTTCCAACAGCTGGCTATTTGGAGAATGGCCAATACCATAGAATAAGCCTTTTGCCTCAAGCACAGATTCCTCCCCGGTATCAGTTTTTCTTGTCAAAATACCAGACATCTGCCCCTTTGTATTGCTAACGACATCCACAGTCTCTGTATTGAAGTGCACGGTGACATTTGGATTGTTGAACACTCTGAAACATTCGCGATAATCAACCTGTTAAACAAACATTTCAGGGAGTTGAAAACTCAACAGACAAATTGTTCATTAGTATATAATTCAGAAGACATGAAATCATGGCAGCTAATCATAAAAAATACAAGAAAATAACACCATGAAATAAAATGTCTGCAACATTTAAGAAATTGATATTGCCTAGAATTTGAAAACATAAAGAATTGCAAGAATAAGCAACTGCATTTTCTTCAGAGCCATCTTAAACATATCTAGGAGAAATATTTTAACAGTGAAAAGGGTCTTGCAGGAAAATTAATGGCAACTCAGTGATAAACATAATACCACAGAACACATACTAGACAATGTTGAGGCAATTGAACCCAATAAAAAGGTCTGAAACACTTTTATCTAGACAGAAAGATATGCTGAAGATGGCAAAGCAGGAACGTGCTAGAAATATTTCAAAATACAAACAACTTTAAAAAATGTTTGGCTTGACATATAGAAGACCTTTTTGCAAAATGTTAAATGCATATTTAGGAGCAACTTAAAGTGACTAATAAAGAAAGTGCAGCAAAACAAGCATGGTCAACAACTGCAATGGAACAACACAAATAAGGGTGTGCCAAAACTCACCTGTCTTGCATTGCTTTAGATGCCCTAAGTTGGTCCCTTCGTACAAGTAAATGGACATGGCGAGCATATTTAGTTAAGTACAATGCTTCCTCTGTGGCCGTATCACCTCCCCCTACAACCGCAAGAACTTGCCCCTTAAACAATGGTGATGCTCCATCACAAATTGCACATGCACTAATTCCCCTACTCCAAAATTCATCTTCACGGGGTAAACTGAGTCTTTTGGCAGTAGCTCCTGTCGCCAAAATGATGCTGTGGCAATTAACCTGAATATTAAAGTAAAACAAATTTAGTATCATAACCATGGACTTGGATTTGTTTCCAAACTCCGATTAATGAAGAATCCACGGCCTGTTGGCATAACAAAAGCATAAACAGTTGCATGTGGCAACGGCACATCACTCATGCATAAAGAATGGTGCATTTCAAACAGGTTCCAAGGAAAATTAGGATCACATACAGAAAGCATGTTTCTAATAAAGAATACACACTAAAATAGGCCATCTCCAAGCAGAGTTCAAAGCAAAATTTTAGGCTAAAAAAAAATGTGTTCAATGAGTTGATGCTTCGATAGTTGAAAATAATGCAACAAGCTCAACAATGTGTACAGAACAGAATGCTATAAAACCATATATCACCTTACGTTCACTACTCTTCACGGTGAAGGGACTGCTTTTAACATCAACAAACTCCACATCTTCTTGGAACAGTTCTGCCCCCCAACGTTCAGCTTGCCGTCGCATCCTGGTCAACAAAGAAAGTCAAGGTTCTGTGCAATAATTTAGTTGAAATGATCGTTACAGTATGTGTCTGAATCTTACATGTTCCTTTGAAGAATAAGAATAATTTTTTTAAAATAAAAATCAACCTTATTTTTTGTTACCTATCCATCAAATCTGGACCGGTTATTCCATCTGGAAACCCT